CTGCAGTGCAGAGGTAGGCTTATTTTTCCAAATTGCAAAGTACAGCAATGTGTTTAAAAGTAGAAGCTCCTCTGAGGTTTAATTCAAGCTTTCTCAAGTAGCATGATTTCAATCTAACCTCCAAAATATTGCCATTTCTCTTTGTGTTCTCAAGGCAGACAAGAAGGCAAAATAAAGTCATAGCTTAAGTTTGACAAGCCTCTTCTATTATTACAGTGATGTAAAATTCTTCCCTGATCACCATATTCTCAGCATATTTACCAGTTCCACCCTTCCACCCTTTATCTAGGAATGTGACATGGCTCTGAATAGAGTAGTTTGGAGACTGCCATTAACAACACCATTGCAAGCAGGATAAAATCTGCAGTATTTAGGCAGACAGACATGTCTCATTGCTTTTGATTCTTCAAAAACAGTTTACAGAATCCGAACTAGAAGCTTAAGTTCAAATACTATAATACTCCTCCTGCTCCTTTTTCCTGCTGCAAATTGAAAGTGCTGTGTGTTGAGGAGCAGCATATGGGGACTGAGAAAGCAACAAGAGCAAGATTTTTCTTAAGTGATGAGGAAAGGCAAACCTAGCATAAAAACTGAGTGATGCTAATGAAACCACTAAAATGTAATCACCACTTAGGGAGGTTTTATTAAAGAATGAGGGGAGGAATAGCTTGTGGTATTGCTAGATCAGTTGTAATATGGGAGACACAAATGCATCATCCTCCAAAAAGCCTGTGAATCCTATATTATGGAAGTAATTCTGCAGTTACTCTACATGAGATAATAACCAAGTAAATACATAGAAAACTGATTCTTGAAAACAGTTTTTTCTGGAAGAAGATTTGGACAGATTCAAATACGAAAACAAACATTTAATTTTATTTTGTTTGGCAGTCTAATCAATAGCAGTCTTAGCAGTAGTTTGACCAGCCCTGGAATGATCCTCTCCAACTGTAACTGAGACACAGAACCATCTTCCTCGAAAATACTGAGCAAAGTAGCTCAAAGTATTTTTTTTTTCCCCTGTAAAACTATAAAAATTATGGAAATACTGAAAGATCATATTTCTTATTTCATACTTTAAGGAAAAATACTGAAGAAAAATGATGCGGTTTCCATTATGTAGCTCAAGCATTATATCACTTTGTTTCTTAATGTACCATGTCAAAGTAACTCCTTACTGAGTTGTACAATTTTTTGCATCTATATATCATGTAATTCATTACAACTAGCAAAAAAAAAGGTATTTAAAAATAAAATCAACTAATAAAGTTAATATGTCTTGATATGTTCTCTCTTTCTGCCATATAGATGATCAGCATTTTGAAAGGTACATATACATGCATATGCATATATCTTTCCTAAAGTTCTGGTAAAAATAAATAATACAACATGGGAAACCTTTAAGTTATGCAGGCATATACTACATACAGGGAGAAACATCCTGGTTTGATTTTGCATGGTATATTTTTGCTTAATTTCTTTCTGGAATTGATTATGATTTTTAGATGACTATTTTAAGAATAAATTTTCCTTAAGCAGAGTTTTTTTTTTTTACTCTTTTGAACACCTGGTCTTAAACATTGTATTTCCTCATTTATGCTATTTTTGCCCTCCAAATATATGGTCACTGACACAATTAACAACTTTTACCATCAGTAACATAAATTATGCTACGACCTATGAAAAGGAGCCGAAGACAGGAGTCATGGCCATATATAACTCTGTAAGGGTGCTATGCTCATCATATAGATGCTATTGGTCACCTTACTGCACAGAAATCAATTATTGGAAAAGGTGAATGTACCATGAGTACTGCTGAACTCCAGCTAATTCTGACAGTGGGAACTTAAGCAATTAATCTGAAACTAAAGCAGCTCTCTAACGGTTCAGATTTTCTGAAGGTTCTGGCCTCGTTTTTCACACATCTTGCTTGTGGAAATATGCTGAAGTTCCAGCTTCCCTCTGCTCAGACAGTTTGTATTCTATTACACAGAACAACACAGAAGAATAGAGAATCTACTAGAATCTACACAGAAGAAAAGAGAATGTAAGCAAGACTTGGAGGACTGGGACTGTAGGACTGGATTTTTGCTTGCTGGCCTTTAAAGGGAGGCAGCACTGGGGGCTAAAGGAACTAATGAAGGTTTTTGTTCCTGACAGGTAGTATTATATGACTTACAGAAAAAGGTTTGTTATGCTATGTTTAAATGAATCTGAATATATCTTAACAAATTAGCAAAAAGAACAAGGTTTTGTTTGCTATGATCTCAGAATCATAGAACAAAGTAATAGAATGATACACCTATAATCAGTAGTTTAATACCTAATGGCTGTTAATTCCTTCACGTGCAAGTAAGTGCAGAACACTTTGTTTTATGTCACTGTGCAAAATAGTACTTCATAAAATTCTTCATCTTAGATGAATATTTCTTCATGGCATTAATTATCTCAGATGTAAACATAAGAGAAAAGACTAATTAATTAGCAAATCTTTTGTGTTAGATACCTCTATTCTAGAAATATTAATATTTGTTCTTTGGAGTGCCTTGGATCTGATGAAAGGAGGCAATTTGAATTAGCAGCAGATAGTTCACTTTAGTGGATAATTAACTTTCTTCTTATTTTGCTCTAGATTTCATTAGACAACAGTTGTAGAACAAACATTTCTGTTAGTGAAAAGATGATAAATTTCAGGGTTAGATTACGACTTCTTAAAAGCAAAAAAATCTAAATAAGCAACAGTAAGCATAATCACAAAAGAAATTCAGAAAGATGAATCTAATTGAGAGATCAGAGCATTATTTGGTGGTTCTTTTAATGATTTCTATGGTAATTCAATGTGTTGACTCTCACCTCTGGAAGTATTCTATTATCTATGGGAGTTACAAACGGTAGAAACGATCTTCCATTTGTTTTAATTTGATAACTGCAATAATGAAATAGCAGGCATAATACTCTTAAAATACAGGTCAACACACAGCATATTTTCTTTCTTTATGTGCTTACATCTTTAATTTAACATTGTTTAGAAGTTCATATAATAATCTATAAGTTCCAGACTGCATGCAGAGGTGTTTGTTTTTTTTTTTACATTTATTATGTTCAGAAAATAAATTTTTGTCTAATAAAAATAATATTGTATTATACATAAATACATTCCAATAGTAATGTCCCCTGCTTATTGCTGTTGAAGGTACAACATATAGATTGCAGTAACAGTACTTGAAGCAAACTCGCAGCTACAAAACACAGTTTTTCAAGGCAGTCACACCATTAGTCTGCATTTTTGCCAGCAACAAGAGCCTACATGCTGCACTCAAAAAATCGGCATGGCTATCCAGAATGCACCTTGCCTTTCACATCACTTCACCACCACTGAAATGCTCCTCTCACCTTCTCACTGTACTCACATCTTCAGTTTGGTTTCCATAAACATTCAGCAAGTGTCAGTGAATGTCAACAGATGCTAGTTTTTCTATCTGTAGGAATTCAGTTAAACCCCTTTGCTTCATACGCACTTCTGTGTCAGACACCATTTTATCAGACTGTCCCTCTGCTGCCATCTGTTGCACAGCAACAACATGTGATGGAAATTGGTGGGAAGGTTCAACATCGACTGCCATCCCACCAACATCTGCCTCAGATGTCGTGGGCCAACATAACAAAACAGGAGGTGTTACTTCAGAGCAGCCCTTACATATGTAATATGTAATTAAATATATTAAATTCATATGGGTATAGATATGCAAACATTAAAATATGGAATTGCATATAAAATGCATGTAATAAACATATTTAATTATTTTCATTAACACATGCACATAGAGAGAAGTGTGAGAGAGAAATGGGGTTGCCAGGACACATCTCATGGGAAAAGTGACTAGCATGAAAGTGTGTCATCAGGAGTGCTGGGGAGTTACAGCTGGGATGCAAAAATACTGAAAATTTAGATTTAATTCCAAGGCATCTGGCTGGTGATGACCCTTCCAACAATGTCTGCCCTCATTTGTTTGCTATCCTCAGAAACAACCTTAATGCATAAATTAGACAGATAAAATTCACACAGTGCAAATTCAACTAATCATCTACTGTGGAAACACGTTAGAAGGATGAAGAAGCAGTCACATTGTTCCTTACACAACAAGGAGATGGACCAAAAACTGGCAAAGCACATCAAAGAGATCAAACACTGTATAAAACTAAGCACTGTTAATATTTTTTAGTATAAATACAAAATATTTGTTTCTCTTTCGGAGCACAGAGGAAGTGATAGGTGTCACTGAGGTATACTTAAGTTAAGCACATACTCAAAGCTTTATTGCCTCAAGGTCTCCAGACCATTTTTGTGAATGTCTTGGACCTCCACATCACCACATTGTTTTCAGAGATTATATTTTGACACACTATTCATACAAATAAACATGATCCCTCATATTTTTCAGTGCTTGCTAGCTTCAGTGCAGTATTAACTAGACTCAATTTCATGTCTGGAATTCTGCTCCTTGACAGTTTGAAAGCAACACTGCATAAGTTTCAGGCATACAATAACTCAAAAAGTTCTAAGAGAGAACTGAAAACTGCTCATCTCATTATACCTCACACTGGAAAAGGAGACCTCTCTAAAAATTAGAAGGACTACTTATCTGAAGAAAGAAAAGCACAGAGATTTATTTTTTAAGGAAGATTACTTTCATGAATCTGAACAATGGGGAAAGTTCTGTAGCTTCTTTCAGGCTCATTCAGATAATTTTAAAAGAATTACAATGCACTGGTGGAGAATAATCATGCAGACATTGGAACAGCTAGTGTAGCCTTCTGCACCTACACACCACCTGTCTCATGCACTGAAATAACCATACTGAAGCAGAACTCAAACCTTACGCCTTTCTTTATCTAATCAAAGTCAAATAAAAACATGACTTCAATTTCAATGCCCTGCACTTTATTGTGTTTTCACAAAAAAGGTGGGTGTCTTAGAGTTAATTAAAGAAGTCACATACAAGTCTTGAGCAATGGCACTTTGGACTTCTCAGAATCCTGTATAATAAACAAACAAATTTCGTTTTCTTAAAAATGACTTCCTTTAAATGCTATTATTACTACTATTACACTTCTTGTTCTTCGCTGTTTCAGTAAACAGTTCTTATCTCAACCCTTTATTACTCTCCCCAGTTCTCTCCCCCTTCCCAGTGTGAGCAGGAGGTGAGCAAACCACTCTGTGGCGGTGTATTTCCAACTGCATTTCATACTTCAGTCCTTCCTGTAGACTACAGTTCTCAGTCATGGCTACAGTAAAATTTACAGTACCTCTCTTAGACTCAAAGAGTTAACCACCATCACATGCACAGCCCCTGTTATCATACATATAGGTACGTGTAACATATATTTAACATACGTATAGTTACTTTTTTCAATGATTTGGTTTTAAAAAATGGACATTTGGCTTTGAAAAGCAAACAATTTAAGTTTTACACTCCCTTGGTGAAATTTTTTGTCATATACATGATTTTCATACGAAAATAAATGTTCCTGGATTTCACATATATTGCATGCTTTCCTTAAAACCTTGAAAAATTGTGCATTTGTCCACAGTTCACTGAGCTAACAGTTATCCTTCCTTTTTGACTCATATTTTCTCTTACATATCTCTTGATATATTTGTCAATATTATTTGGAACCTGAAAGAAATGACTACACTGACTTTTAATTTTTCTTAAAAATGGTAACTCAGATCTGTTCTGAAATTAATCTCCAGCATCCTGAATATTTTGTACACATCTTTCCATGTATGATCAATGATTTTTACGGCTTTGTCATCTGAATCAGTACGGATTTCATATGTTCACTGTCTCTCTTATTCATGTCACAGTATTTTACCACCTAAATTTTTACTAGAAGGTGAAGATATTCAGGATTCTTTATCTATCAGTCTCTGTTAGGCCGTAGCACTTTGCCTTCTTCATGATGCCTACTTCATTTTCTGCTCTTGAGATCTATCTCTGAGTAAAAAATCTACACAATTAATCCAAGTGATTTATTTATGAGTTTATTTTGGACTTCACCATAAACAATGAAATGAAAATGAACTGCATTTCAGCTGGAACTTTCAAATAAATTCAGAGGCATTAGGTACTTACATCTTGGAGAATGTTATAAGAATGATGAGGCATTGGCACAGATTGCCCCAGGAAGTGGTGGAGCCACAGTCCCTGGAGGACTGAAGGACATAGTTTAGTGGGCAATACTGGTGGGAGGTGGATGGCTGGATTAGATGATCAACCTTAATTATTCTATGATAATGAAATCCCTTCTTCACCTTCATTATTTCATCCTTCTTTTTGCCTAACTCAGCTCTCATTCTGATGACTTTGTAAGATTTTCATTGATTTCAGTGAGCTTCTACTCAACTATCACAGGCTTGAGAGACTGTCACATCTCATACTGCAGCACAGTAACTCTCATTAACAGTGCTCTCACAACTTACAGGAGTTATTGATGATTCTACCCATAGCTACTGCTATCCAGCTGGCCTCTAATGCTGAGTGTTTGGAAGGAATTGCAGGAAGCCAGACTTGTAACTCTTGAAACTATCAGCAATTCACTGATAGTTTGTGTAAAACCGAAAAAAATAGTCAGAGTTCTCTTAGTCTATTTGCTGAATGTACAGTCATTCAAAAAACACATAGACTAATTAGTGAGTATCTTGACTCTACCTTGTGCTCTCAGATATGCCAGACCTCCACTATGCAGGTTTCTGAAATTGCAAACCAGTTGCTATGACTACAGCAAGATCCCGTAGGATGGCTGTATTTAGCTGGCACATCCTGACCACCCAGAATACTAATGAAATGGAAGAGTGCAGTGTGAACTGCATGTGGAATTACCATGGTTCAAAATTAAAAATAAATAAATATTTAGAACCTATCCTCTCTGCAGATATCTTTTATCTTTCTCTGTTTCTGGATTTCAGCTTTAATGTATTATTTTAAAAAGCTTCATCATTTAAATTCTGGCAGCAGAACCAAATATCTATGGTTTTAAAACATAGTTAAACAAATTGAGATACCAGGGATTTCACACTAGTTATATTCAATTGCATTAAGCAGAAAAAAAACCAAAAGTTTTTTAGTTTGGCTTTATATAGCAAAATCAACAAAGGGTAGTCTCTGTAGTTCGCCTGTTTACTGCAGAACTTTACCTGTAGAATAACACCAATCAATTCAGCCTATGGTGGTGGTGATAGAAAAGTTGCTTTGGGGAAGGACCTGCATTTCTGTTGTTCTGAAATAGCTTGAAACCTCTAATCTAGGTCGACTTGGTTGATGGTATTCTTACAGTGAGATTTTGAGTCATTGAAGACTAATGTTACTTTTTTAAGAAGTACTGAAAATAAAACTTGTTAAGAACAGGCTCCAGAAGCTATTACTATCACCATCTCCATTCATGTCTAGTGTTTAATATTCCCTACTCTATTTGAATTCACACAGAAATGAAATCCGGTTTGGATTTTCAGTAATTTAGTAATTTCACTAGTTACATGCAAGCACCATTAATCCAGTCCTACACAACCTACAGGAAAAAGGGCATTATGTTAACTCCTCTCTTGAAACACCAGATTTTTTTTTAACATTTTACACCAGAGGTTTAAAGAAAGGATATAACTCTTAAATCAAACAGATAGAGTCGATATGCTTGTGGGTAAAGTGGATATAAACTGCTACCGAGATGTATATCAGGACATGAAAAAATTAAAAGATATCTGAAAGGAGCATACCTTGTAGTCTGGCTCTAAGTGATTATAACTTTTTAACTGCTATTGAGCTTGGGTTCAGGGATTGCAAAACTGGATTTGATCTCACTTTTCCTCTTTCACCAGAATCATCAGTGGGCTTTGGAATACAGTTTGCATAATAACACTGCTGAAATTTCGATAGCCACTTAACACTTACCTGACACAAAAAGTGCTTTCCAAAAAGGCTACAAAATGAGGTACTGCCAGAGCATACACTGCCTCCATGGGTCTAATGCACACTAAGTGAATTCTGTTTCATTTTTATGAGATGACACATTAAATAATTTTCATATTAGGTTTACAAGAATGCCCATTTCTGCTAAGGAACAGTCAAAGTTCATGTCACAGAACAAACTTCCTCACACTGGTCAAAAAAGTGATGGGATCCACAGAGTTGCAATGGCTTTCTGATAACAAAGGCCTGTGGCACCAGGGATGTGCATGCAGGTATGCTGCAGTGCTATAGATATTGACATTGACAGTGCTATAGAAGCTATTGACATCTATATTGCATATCCACAAAAATATATACAAGCAGAAGTCTGATTACAGGTCTGGAAAAAACAATCAACCATTAGAATATTCAAGCACTGGAACAAGACTCCAAAGACACTGTAAACACTTCATGCTTGGAGAGACTCAAAATGCCAATGAACAAGGCCCTAAGAAACCTGATCTAGTCTGAAAAACTGTGAACAAAGGCTGGAATACAGACCTCCAGATGTCTTTTCCAATTTAAATCGTTCCACTGTGGTACTGTGCAGAGGCATCTTGTTGATCAAATGAAAAGTCTCAGCCCATACATAAAGCATCATTGCAAATGTATCAGGTAACAGAACTACAGAGATTGCACTGCTGTGGAGTTAACTACAGGGATCACTGAGCAAGAAGAAATAATCTATAGCAAGATCCTGTAGTTCAGTCTGCAAGAGGATGCACACACATCCAATAAGCACATAGCATTTCTTGCTTTCTGTATCTCCCACACTTCTCCACAAAGCAATCAGCAGGTCGAAAGGTCTGCTTTCTTACCATCATTTCACATTACAACCTTACGTAATAAAATTTCCTCTTTATAGATCCCATCAGAAATCTTATAGTGCCTAATAAATTGCAAGCATTTGAAAGATTTACATAAACGATGTGACATTTTTAACTTCTTCACTATTTCACTGTCATTTAGAGGAATTTGCTGTTGGTGATTTATAGAGCAAAAGCACTCACAGCAGCTATGTTGTGTTGAACAGTTTTTACTATTTTATTTCCTTATAAATAGCAACGATTATTTATTTTTTGTATCTGTCTCATTTAAGCATTACAGTGCAGAAACACACTGTGGCATCCTTCCAATACAATCTTGTCAAAAAGGAAATCAAAATTCTTTGCATGGTGTTCTCTGGAACTGGACAGACTCTGCATGCATTGGAAGTATATACCATGTTTTCAAGAACAGGGAAACTGATATATAGCATTATCAAACCTTTTGACTATATAAATTAACCCACTCAAAATAAATAAAATAAGACCAAGAAAACTAGAGGCAGACTTGGCATAGTCAACATGAAAAGCAACAGCTTTAAAATGAAATGTAGGAGATGGTTTTACTGCTATTGAGGCTTTTTCCTGCTCACAACAGATCATTCTACCTCCCATAGTATTCAGATAGGACTGAGTCAAACCTCCAAAGCCTAATTCTGATTTGCACAAACACCATATTCTACATCCAAAACAAAAAGATACTCTTGTTGGTTTTTTTTTGTTTGTTTGTTTTTGCTTTGTTTTGTTTTGTTTTGTTTTGTGAGTGCATACTGTAATTAGGCAGGCAAAGAGGAACAAACTACCTTTGGTATAGATGAGAAGCAGAGCCCTTAGTGTGCATGTTCCATCATCATCATATGCTGACAGTCCATTTCCTATATGTTGAAAAGCTTTTAGCTGGTGTGCAGTTTCAGTATAAGCTCCAGCTGAGTCATTCTGTTCCAGAACTGGGAAAACTATCTATATGTTTAGAGTAAGGGGAAAGAAAAAAATAAAAAAGGAAAACAAAACTACACCCAAAAAACAAAAACAAAACAAAGAAACAAACAAACAAACAAAAAACCACCAGCATGAAAATACCTAAAAGTCCACAGATTATTCAAATAATAGAAGTCTGGTATTGTGACTTCCTCATATCATTCACAAAACCCACCTCACAGACATTAGAATCTGCTCCTCTTGTGCAGAATTAATGTAAACCTATTGA